CTCTTTACTATAAAAGCGGGTGGTCCTTCGTAATTGATTTTCATTACATTAATATTTAAATAAATAGAGTCAAGCCCCAAAATGTCCCACACCCGTAGCCATTTCTCGGACCATCTCTGAAACCTGTTCAGGTCCTCTTGGGGGATCTGCAATCCTAATCTGTCACAACTATTCTCATCAACTTTGCGTCATCCGACAAACATCGACATGTAGGACTCTACGCCTGTAAACATGTCGTTAAACATTACAAGAAAAGAATTGGTCCCAGCACCGATCCTTGAGGTACTCAACTTGTTACTGTGTAGCCAGTCCCACTTCTCCCCCTTACCGTAACTCTTTGGCTCCTTCCTGTTAGGTAGTTCCTTATCCATGCTAGGACCTTTGCCCCCACACCCCCGCCTGCCTCTCGGAGCTTGAACAGCAGTCTCATGTGCGGTACGTATCAAAAGGGCTTTTTGGCAGTCCAGAAATATGCAGTCCGCCCAACCATCTCTGTCTGGTTATCCTCGTTTTTTATCATAGAATTCCAGAAGGTGTAGTTGTTAGGCACACCTGTCCAGAACCTGTCCCTGTCCAGAACCCATGTTGATGTTTGTTCACAAACCTAATGTACTCCAGGGTGTGCACCAGTCGTAGCCTAATTATTCTTTCCAGTATTTTACAGGGAATGCGTGTGTATGTGAGTGTGTGTGTGAAAAAAAAGTGAGTTGATTGATTGACTGTTGAGAGGCGGGGCCCAAAGAGCTAGAACTCAACCCTCGCAAGGACAACTAGATGAGTACACACACACACACACACATACACACACACACACACACACACACACACACACACACACACACACACACACACACACACACACACACACACACACACACTATTGGGGCTCGTAGCCTGGTGGATAGCGCGCAGGACTCGTAATTCTGTGGCGCGGGTTCGATTCCCGCACGAGGCAGAAACAAATGGGCAAAGTTTCTTTCACCCTAAGTGCCCCTGTTACCTAGCAGTAAATAGGTACCTGGGAGTTAGTCAGCTGTCACGGGCTGCTTCCTGGGGTGGGTGTGTGTGTGTGTGTGGTGTGGGGAAAAAAAAAAAAAAAAGTAGTTAGTAAACAGTTGATTGACAGTTGAGAGGCGGGCCGAAAGAGCAAAGCTCAACCCCAGCAAAAACACAACTAGTAAACACAACTAGTAAACACACACACACTGTGTACTTAACTAGTGGACACCCTAGTTGAACCCCCGTTATTCAGACACACTGTGTGTGTGTGTGTGTGTGTACATGCAAGCGTGCGTGAGTGAAGGGGAAGCTGAACTTTAGGCGGAAAGCGCCAGCATTATACACTATATAGCCACATAGCACTAGATACTACAAAACGAAGTTGAGGTTCGACGACTATGATCTACGAGGAGAGACTACTGAGGAATTAAACCTCACCTCACTGGGAAGACAAAAGAGTTAGGGGGGACATGATCACCACATACAAGATTCTCAGAGGAATTGGCAGGGTAGACTTTACAGACTATTTACCACAAGGGGCAAGCACGCACTAGGGGACACAGGTGGAAATTGAGTGCCCAAATGAGCCACAGAGACATTAGAAAGAATTTGTTCAGTGTCAGAGTAGTTGACAAATGGAATGCATTAGGAAGTTGATGTGGTGGAGGCTGACTCCATACACAGTTTCAAGTGTAGATATGATAGAGCCCAGTAGGCTCAGGAACGAGTTCCAGCCCACCATAGCGCCGTGCTACATGGACACTTCATCTGAGTAGCTAAATCTGAAAAAACAGGCTAAGGAACTGTACATTAGTGATTGACCGTTGAGAGGCGGGACCAAAGAGCCGTGGCTCATCCCCCGCAAATACAACTAGGTAAGAACTAGGTAAATACACAACACATATCTCTCCCTGCCTCTCACTTCTCTCGCTCGCCGCCTCTCGCTCTCGCTCGCCCTCTCCTCTCTCTCTCTCTCTCTCCTCTCTCCTTCCCTCTCTCTCATCTCGTCCTCTACAGCTCTTTCCGCTCTCTCCTCTGCTCTCTCTCTCTCTCTCTCTCTCATATACGGTCTCTCTACTCTCTCGCTCTCTCTCTCTCCTCTCTCTCTCTCTCTCTCTCTCTCTAAGCAATAGGAAGCAGAGAGTTACGGTGAGGGGCGAGACCTCAGATTGGCGTGAAGTCACCAGTGGATTCCCACAGGGCTCTGTACTCGGTCCTATCTTGTTTCTGATATATGTAAATGATCTCCCGGAGGGTATAGATTAATTTCTCTCAATGTATGCTGATGATGCCAAAATTATGAGAAGGATTAAGACAGAGGAGGACTGCTTGAGGCTTCAAGAAGACCTAGAGAAGCTGAAGGAATGGTCAACAAATGGTTGTTAAGAGTTTAATCTAAGCAAATGTAATGTAATGAAGATAGGCGTAGGGAGCAGGAGGCCAGATACTAGATATCATCTGGGAGATGAAATTCTTCAAGAGTCTGAGAAAGAAAAGGACTGACAAAGGAAGAACTGGATGACAAATGAGAGGGCTTCATAATGGTCATAAGAGAGATTATAGTAAATGCAAATAAAGATAAATCACAAATGTTAGTACTGGAGGACTTCAACTTTAAAACAATAGACTGGGAGGCCAACAAAGCAAGAATGGAGGACATTTGGACAGGCAGATTTGTAAACCTCATTCTGGAAACATTTATGTATCAACACGTATCTAATATTCACCAGGAAAGAAAAAGAGGTATTTGACATCCAGTACCTTCCTCCCTTGGGAAAGAGTGATCATGTCCTGTTGGACATTACATACGCTTTGCGATATAATCTAGTAGAGAATGGGAGCATTGAAACAGTTGATAAACTCGATTTCAAGAGAGGATGCTATGGGGAACATAGACATTCTTTTCATGGGGTATAATTGGACAGACTTGTTGCTAGGCAAGGAAGTAAATGAGATGTATGCCAAATTTTGCAAAATATATGATGAAGGCACAAACATTCATACCAAAACAGACATGCAGACCTAGGAAACAGGGTTGGTTCAACAGAAATTGCAAGAGGACCAGAGATCAAAAGACACAAACATGGAATCATTATAGGAAGAGGCCAAACCCTCAAACATACCAGCGATACAAAGATGCAAGAAACAACTACACATCAGTAAGAAGAGGGGCAGAGAGGAACTTTGAGAACGGTATAGCAGACATATGTAAATCAGATCCAGGCCTTTTCTATAAATTCATTAAAAGCAAGCTGCAGGTAAATTATAATATTCAGAGGTTGAAAATGGGGGACAGATACACGGAAAAGGAAATGTGTGAAACATTAAACGAAAAGTTCCAAAGTGTGTTTGTACAAAATGAGATCTTCAGAGAACCAGACACAATAAGAATTCCAGAGAACAACATAGAGCACATAGAGGTGTCTAGAGACGAAGTGAAACAAATGCTCCTGGAGCAAAGTAAGAACAAGTAGTTGGTCCAGATGGAGTTTCACCATGGGTTCTGAGAGAATGTGCACCTGAGCTCAGCATTCCACTTCAACTGATTTTTCAGACATCCCTGTGTACAGGAGTCGTAGCAGATGTGTGGAAAAAGGCTAACATAGTTCCAATCTACAAAAGTGGCAGCAGGGAAGACCCCCTCAATTATAGACCTGTATCATTGACAAGTGTAATAGTCAAAATATTGGAAAAATAATAAAAACTAAATGGGTAGAACACCTGGAGAGAAATTATATAATATCAGACAGACAGTATGGTTTTCGATCTGGAAGATCCTGTGTATCGAATTTACTCAGTTTCTATGATCGAGCCACAGAGATTTTACAGGAAAGAGATGGTTGGGTTGACTGCATCTATCTGGACCTAAAAAAGGCTTTCGACAGAGTTCCACATAAGAGGTTGTTCTGGAAACTGGAAAATATTGGAGGGGTGACAGGTAAGCTTCTAACATGGATGAAAAATTTTCTGACTGATAGAAAAATGAGGGCAGTAATCAGAGGCAATGTATCGGACTGGAGAAATGTCACAAGAGGAGTACCACAGGGTTCAGTTCTTGCACCGGTGATGTTCATTGTCTACATAAATGATCTACTAGTTGGTATACAGAATTATATGAACATGTTTGCTGATGATGCTAAGATAATAGGAAGGATAAGAAACTTAGATGATTGTCATGCCCTTCAAGAAGACCTGGACAAAATAAGTATATGGAGCACCACTTGGCAAATGGAATTTAATGTGAATAAATGCCATGTTATGGAATGTGGAATAGAAGAACATAGACTCCACACAACTTATAAATTATGTGAGAAATCTTTAAAGAATTCTGATAAAGAAAGAGATCTAGGGGTGGTTCTAGATAGAAAACTATCACCTGAGGACCACATAAAGAATATTGTGCGAGGAGCCTATGCCACACTTTCTAACTTCAGAATTCCTTTTAAATACATGGATGGCGAAATACTAAAGAAATTGTTCACGACTTTTGTTAGGCCGAAGCTAGAATATGCAGCGGTTGTGTGGTGCCCATATCTTAAGACGCACATCAACAAACTGGAAAAGGTGCAAAGACATGCCACTAAGTGGTTCCCAGAACTGAAGGACAAGAGCTATGAGGAGAGGTTAGAGGCATTAAATATGCCAAAACTAGAAGACAGAAGAAAAAGAGGTGATATGATCACTATGTACAAAATAGTAACAGGAATTGATAAAATCGATAGGGGAGATTTCCTGAGACCTGGAACTTCAAGAACAATAGGTCATAGATTTAAACTAGCTAAACACAGATGCCGAAGAAATATAAGAAAATTCACTTTCGCAAACAGAGTGGTAGACGGTTGGAACAAGTTAGGTGAGAAGGTGGTGGAGGCCAAGACCGTCAGTAGTTTCAAAGCGTTATATGACAAAGAGTGCTGGGAAGACGGGACACCACGAGCGTAGCTCTCATCCTGTAACTACACTTAGGTAATTACACACACACACACAAACATGTCCCTGGCATGAGCAGTGCCCCTTGCATGAGCAGCATCCCTGGCATGAGCAGTGTCCCTGGCATGAGCAGTGACCCTGGCATGAGCAGTGTCCCTGGCATGAGCAGTGTCTATAGCATGAGCAGTGTCCCTGGCATGAGCAGTGTTCCTGGCATGAGCAGTGTCCCTGGCATGAGCAGTGTCCCTGGCATGAGCAGTGTCCCTGGCATGAGCAGTGTCCCTGGCATGAGCAGTGTTCCTGGCATGAACAGTGTCCCTGGCATGAGCAGTGGCCATGGCATGAACAGTGTCCCTGGCATGAGCAGTGGCCATGGCATGAGCAGTGACCCTGGCATGAGCAGTGGCCATGGCATGAGCAGTGACCCTGGCATGAGCAGTGTCCCTAGCATGAGCAGTGTTCCTGGCATGAGCAGTGTTCCTGGCATGAGCAGTGACCCTGGCATGAGCGGTGTCCCTGGCATGAGCAGTGTCTCTGGCATGAGCAGTGACCCTGGCATGAGCAGTGTCTCTGGCATGAGCAGTGTCTCTGGCATGAGCAGTGACCCTGACATGAGCAGTGTCCCTGGTATGAGCAGTGTTTCTGGCATGAGCAGTGTCCATGGCATGAGCAGTGACCCTGGCATGAGCAGTGTCTCTGGCATGAGCAGTGACCCTGACATGAGCGGTGATCCTGGCATGAGCAGTGTCTCTGGCATGAGCAGTGACCCTGGCATGAGCGGTGACCCTGGCATGAGCAGTGTCTCTGGCATGAGCAGTGTCCCTGGCATGAGCAGTGACCCTGACATGAGCAGTGACCCTGACATGAGCAGTGTCTCTGGCATGAGCGGTGACCCTGGCATGAGCAGTGTCTCTGGCATGAGCAGTGACCCTGACATGAGCAGTGACCCTGGCATGAGCAGTGACCCTGGCATGAGCGGTGACCCTGGCATGAGCAGTGTCTCTGGCATGAGCGGTGACCCTAGCATGAGCAGTGACCCTGGCATGAGCAGTGTCTCTGGCATGAGCAGTGACCCTGGCATGAGCAGTGTCTCTGGCATGAGCAGTGACTTTGGCATGAACAGTGACCCTGGCATGAGCAGTGTTCCTGGCATGAGCAGTGTCCCTGACATGATCAGTGTCCCTGACATGAGCAGTGACCCTGACATGAGCAGTGACTTTGGCATGACCAGTGTCTCTGGCATGAGCAGTGACCCTGGCATGAGCAGTGTCTCTGGCATGAGCAGTGACCCTGACATGAGCGGTGACCCTGGCATGAGCAGTGTCTCTGGCATGAGCAGTGACCCTGGCATGAGCGGTGACCCTGGCATGAGCAGTGTCTCTGGCATGAGCAGTGTCCCTGGCATGAGCAGTGACCCTGACATGAGCAGTGACCCTGACATGAGCAGTGTCTCTGGCATGAGCGGTGACCCTGGCATGAGCAGTGTCTCTGGCATGAGCAGTGACCCTGACATGAGCAGTGACCCTGGCATGAGCAGTGACCCTGGCATGAGCGGTGACCCAGGCATGAGCAGTGTCTCTGGCATGAGCGGTGACCCTAGCATGAGCAGTGACCCTGGCATGAGCAGTGTCTCTGGCATGAGTGGTGACCCTGGCATGAGCAGTGTCTCTGGCATGAGCAGTGACCCTGGCATGAGCGGTGACCCTGGCATGAGCAGTGACCCTGGCATGAGCAGAGCCCCTGGCATGAGCAGTAACCCTGGCATGAGCAGTGTTCCTGGCCTGATATTATGTTGTTGTAGGTCGAGTGCGTATGTCCCTTCCGTACAACCAACCCAAACCCGTAGAGTGCTTGTACTTTGATCAGGAGATCATCCTATACGGTTCCTGCTCTTGGAGAGGGGCTCAGCGTCAAACATTAAGGGGATGCGGCTCCTACACTGGCCTCTTCGAATTATAATTCTGTTCCATCCTGTCCCCATCTGTGGTTCTTTCCCTCTCTCTCTCTCTCTTTCTTTTATACTTTCTGGGAAGCCTCACTAGAACAAGGGCAAAGACCAGTAAATTATATACATTTACTAGACAGAGTACATGTACAACACACACATACAAGATACAATAATAACTCCAACACTCTATACTATTATAGTCAGGTTGTAATCCGATACCATCAGGACTCTATCAGCTGCTTATATTAAGTGGGAGCCCAACTCCTGGCTCACCACTTACACTACCAACCTCATCTAGTGGGTTTAATCTTGTAATACAATATGGCACTATCAGCCCTAGAATATATATATCTATATATATATATATATATATATATATATATATATATATATATATATATATATATATATATACATATATATATATATATATATATATATATATATATATATATATATATATATATATATATATATATATATATATATATATATATTAGTATATTTTGGTAGCAGTCTTTCCTGTAGACATATATTATTAAATATGACCGAAAAAGTAAGATTAATAATTCTAACACGAATTTTCTCAATCTTTCGTACATTACGCTTCACTGTTGGAGGTAAATCAAAAATCACTTCTCCAAAATTCATTTTTATTTCTAGTCTGACGCGACACGGGCGCGTTTCGTAAAACTTATTACATTTTCAAAGACTTCACAAATACACAACTGATTAGAACTTACGTATCTCTGATTTTATATCTACATTTGAGTGAGGTGGGAGGGGTGATGTGGCATTAACACAAGACAGAACAAGAGGGGATATTAATAGGGTATTAAAAGTATCAACACAAGACAGAACAGAAACAATAGGTATTGAATAGAAGTGTTTGTAGAAAGCCTATTGGTCCATATTTCTTGATGCTTCTATATTGGAGCGGAGTCTTGAGGTGGGTAGAATATAGTTGTGCAATAATTGGCTGTTGATTGCTGGTGTTGACTTCTTGATGTGTAGTGCCTCGCAAACGTCAAGCCGCCTGCTATCGCTGTATCTATCGATGATTTCTGTGTTGTTTACTAGGATTTCTCTGGCGATGGTTTGGTTATGGGAAGAGATTATATGTTCCTTAATGGAGCCCTGTTGCTTATGCATCGTTAAACGCCTAGAAAGAGATGTTGTTGTCTTGCCTATATACTGGGTTTTTTGGAGCTTACAGTCCCCAAGTGGGCATTTGAAGGCATAGACGACGTTAGTCTCTTTTAAAGCGTTCTGTTTTGTGTCTGGAGAGTTTCTCATGAGTAGGCTGGCCGTTTTTCTGGTTTTATAGTAAATCGTCAGTTGTATCCTCTGATTTTTGTCTGTAGGGATAACGTTTCTATTAACAATATCTTTCAGGACCCTTTCCTCCGTTTTATGAGCTGTGGAAAAGAAGTTCCTGTAAAATAGTCTAATAGGGGGTATAGGTGTTGTGTTAGCTGTCTCTTCGGAGGTTGCATGGCTTTTCACTTTCCTTCTTATGATGTCTTCGATGAAACCATTGGAGAAGCCGTTATTGACTAGGACCTGCCTTACCCTACAGAGTTCTTCGTCGACTTGCTTCCATTCTGAGCTGTGGCTGAGAGCACGGTCGACGTATGCGTTAACAACACTCCTCTTGTACCTGTCAGGGCAGTCGCTGTTGGCATTTAGGCACATTCCTATGTTTGTTTCCTTTGTGTAGACTGCAGTGTGGAAACCTCCGCCCTTTTCCATGACTGTTACATCTAGAAAAGGCAGCTTCCCATCCTTTTCCGTCTCGTAAGTGAAACGCAGCACGGAACTCTGCTCAAATGCCTCCTTCAGCTCCTGCAGATGTCTGACATCAGGTACCTGTGTAAAAATGTCGTCAACATACCTGCAGTATATGGCCAGTTTCAAGTTCATGTCGACTAAGACTTTTTGCTCGATGGTACCCATGTAGAAGTTTGCAAACAGGACACCTAGGGGAGAACCCATGGCGACCCCATCTACTTGCTTATACATGTGCCCATCCGGGCACATGTATACACCCACGTACAGACTGGCGAAGCGACTCAACGGCCTGCTGACTCCTTATGTTCCTTGCGCCTTCAGCCTGAAGTCTCCAAAGGAATTTGTGGACTTACTGCGGGGCGCACGGGCCACAGGGATAAGAGCCTCGTTGGACGTAGAATCGCTGTTTACCAACGTACCTGTGGACGAGACAATCGGAATGATAGCCGACAGAGTGTATCGTGATCCAGCCTGTACTCCTTTTGACATGCCAGAAAGTATTCTGAGGAAACTACTCCAAGCTTGTACTAAAGAGGCACCCTTCTTGAGCCCGGATGGGCACATGTATAAGCAAGTAGATGGGGTCGCCATGGGTTCTCCCCTAGGTGTCCTGTTTGCAAACTTCTACATGGGTACCATCGAGCAAAAAGTCTTAGTCGACATGAACTTGAAACCAGCCATATACTGCAGGTATGTTGACGACATTTTTACACAGGTACCTGATGTCAGACATCTGCAGGAGCTGAAGGAGGCATTTGAGCAGAGTTCCGTGCTGCGTTTCACTTACGAGACGGAAAAGGATGGGAAGCTGCCTTTTCTAGATGTAACAGTCATGGAAAAGGGCGGAGGTTTCCACACTGCAGTCTACACAAAGGAAACAAACATAGGAATGTGCCTAAATGCCAACAGCGACTGCCCTGACAGGTACAAGAGGAGTGTTGTTAACGCATACGTCGACCGTGCTCTCAGCCACAGCTCAGAATGGAAGCAAGTCGACGAAGAACTCTGTAGGGTAAGGCAGGTCCTAGTCAATAACGGCTTCTCCAATGGTTTCATCGAAGACATCATAAGAAGGAAAGTGAAAAGCCATGCAACCTCCGAAGAGACAGCTAACACAACACCTATACCCCCTATTAGACTATTTTACAGGAACTTCTTTTCCACAGCTCATAAAACGGAGGAAAGGGTCCTGAAAGATATTGTTAATAGAAACGATATCCCTACAGACAAAAATCAGAGGATACAACTGACGATTTACTATAAAACCAGAAAAACGGCCAGCCTACTCATGAGAAACTCTCCAGACACAAAACAGAACGCTTTAAAAGAGACTAACGTCGTCTATGCCTTCAAATGCCCACTTGGGGACTGTAAGCTCCAAAAAACCCAGTATATAGGCAAGACAACAACATCTCTTTCTAGGCGTTTAACGATGCATAAACAACAGGGCTCCATTAAGGAACATATAATCTCTTCCCATAACCAAACCATCGCCAGAGAAATCCTAGTAAACAACACAGAAATCATCGATAGATACAGCGATAGCAGGCGGCTTGACGTTTGCGAGGCACTACACATCAAGAAGTCAACACCAGCAATCAACAGCCAATTATTGCACAACTATATTCTACCCACCTCAAGACTCCGCTCCAATATAGAAGCATCAAGAAATATGGACCAATAGGCTTTCTACAAACACTTCTATTCAATACCCATTGTTTCTGTTCTGTCTTGTGTTGATACTTTTAATACCCTATTAATATCCCCTAGTGTTCTGTCTTGTGTTAATGCCACATCACCCTTCCCACCTCACTCAAATGTAATGCCACATCACCCTTCCCACCTCACTCAAATGTAGATATAAAATCAGGGAAACGCAAGTTCTAATCAGTTGTGTATTTGTGAAGTCTTTGAAAATGTAATAAGTTTTACGAAAAGCGCCCGTGTCGCGTCAGACTAGAAATAAAAATGAATTTTGGAGAAGTGATTTTTTATTTACCTCCAACAGTGAAGCGTAATGTACGAAAGATTGAGAAAATTCGTGTTAGAATTATTAATCTTACTTTTTCGGTCATATTTAATAATATATGCCTACAGGAAAGACTGCTACCAAAATATACTAATATATATATATATATATATATATATATATATATATATATATATATATATATATATATAACTGAAAACTCACACCCCAGAAGTGACTCGAACCCATACTCCCAGAAGCAACGCAACTGGTATGTACAAGACGCCTTAATCCACTTGACCATCACGACCGGACAAAATGAGGTGATAGCCGAGGCTATTTGAACCACCCCACCGCCGGCACTCGGATAGTACTCTTGGGCATAGCATTTTACCAAATCACCTCATTCTTTGGGGCACACGTGAGGAACACAAATGCAAACAAGCCTGAATGGTCCCCAGGACAATATGCAACTGAAAACTCACACCCCAGAAGTGACTCGAACCCATACTCCCAGAAGCAACGCAACTGGTATGTACAAGACGCCTTAATCCACTTGATCATCACAACCGGACAAAATGAGGTGATAGCCGAGGCTATTTGAACCACCCCACCGCCGGCACTCGGATAGTAATCTTGGGCATAGCATTTTACCAAATCACCTCATTCTTTGGGGCACACGTGAGGAACACAAATGCGAACAAGCCTGAATGGTCCCCAGGACAATATGCAACTGAAAACTCACACCCCAGAAGTGACTCGAACCCATACTCCCAGAAGCAACGCAACTGGTATGTACAAGACGCCTTAATCCACTTGACCATCACGACCGGACAAAATGAGGTGATAGCCGAGGCTATTTGAACCACCCCACCGCCGGCACTCGGATAGTAATCTTGGGCATAGCATTCATATAGCCTCGGCTATCACCTCATTTTGTCCGGTCGTGATGGTCAAGTGGATTAAGGCGTCTTGTACATACCAGTTGCGTTGCTTCTGGGAGTATGGGTTCGAGTCACTTCTGGGGTGTGAGTTTTCAGTTGCATATTGTCCTGGGGACCATTCAGGCTTGTTCGCATTTGTGTTCCTCACGTGTGCCCCAAAGAATGAGGTGATTTGGTAAAATGCTATGCCCAAGATTACTATCCGAGTGC